TATAGAAAGTAGAACTTTTTCAACTTAACTTTTGAAAATGTTCCGGAAAGACTGACACTTTTATATATATTTTAAATTAAAGCTAATATAATATATTTTATTATGGAAATAAAAAATTTCGGACTTTATTTTATCTTCATGGTAGAAACAGTCATCAAAGTTTATAAAAAAAATACGATTTTTGTAAAAAAATTCTTAAATCTAAATTTTTAAAATTTTTAACTTTATAATGCTATAACTTTTTGAAAGATGTATGGATCAATATAATTTTTTTTTATAGATGCATAATGACTTTAACTATCATTTGGTATATATATTTTTTATATCTGACCCTTTACCTGCCCACAGGGGGGGATTTAAAATGACCACTTATTCACAAAAAATTTACTTTTTCAACTTAACTTTTGAAAATGTTCCGGAAGGTCTGACACTTTTATATATATCTTAAATTAAAGCTAATGTAATTTACTTTATTATGTAAAAAAAACCTATGGACTTGTCTTCATGGTGAAAATGGTTACCAAATGCTATTATTGTGTGAAAATTCTCGATTTTATATTTTACATTTTTGACTTTAGAATGCTATGACATATTGAAAAGTATATGGATCAACATTATTTTTTTAAGATAATTAATATTTTTTAATAATCCTTTTTTCATTCGACATACTTTATCTTAATTAGGATATTAATTATGAACTAGCAGATCATGTAGCTTTTGGAATAATCCAACAATTTTTTAAAATTAAACACTGTCTAAAGATATGCATCGAAGCGTTTTCTTTTGATAGTGATTTTAATCACTGTCAGATATCATTATTAGTTTTAGTGTTAGTTTTAGTTATTATCGAGGTGGACATAATGCCCATGCACTCAGAGCTGTTGGTCCATTGTGCGCACCTCATACTGAATTGTCTTGATTCGGTTTACCCACCTAAGTGTTATCACCAAAGTATTAATACAATACCAACCATAAAGTCACCTATAAAGATGACCAAAGAGTCCTGTCTTTCTGGCGAAATTAAGTATCTCTTTGGGTTTTAGGTTTTTAATATCTTCTTTTTCAGGAAAAGGTTTATTCAAGTAGTTTGATCTTAGTGTGGACAAGGCTTCACATTCGCACATGATATGAAATGAGTCTTCCTCTTCTACTCCACACTTCTTGCACAATAGTGATTCCGATACCCCCATTAAGCAGGTGACCATGTCCTGTCAGTAGACCAGTCAGGGTGCTTATTTGGTGCTATTAAGATTACCCAGCAATAAACCAGGGGTATTGATAAACATTTTAGATAGTCTAGGTACTACCAAGTTTTTCCAGATTTTCCTGTGTTGTTCTCTGCACCAATTCTTGGGTAACGCTTTGAGCGATTGCTCAGTGAGTCCTAACACTGGTTCTGGTCCAACATAGGTGTTCTCTGCTCCTTTCCTGGCTAGAAAGTCAGCATTCTCATTTCCAGTGACACCGTTGTGTCCCGGTACCCACGCTAGTGTAACTTTGTTGAACCTCGATAGTGATTCTAAAGTTTCCCTGCATTCGAGGACCAGCTTTGAATTCACCTGATCGTTACAGAGTGCTTTCAAAGNGTGATCGTTACAGAGTTCTTTCAAGGCCGCTTGACTTTCACTTAAGGTAGTTATCTTCTTATTTTTGTATCACCTCTGCTTGGAAAACGGAGGGTGTTGTGCCCAATGACATACTGACATTTATTCGTGGCTTTAAGCCCCAAATTCCAGCACCTACCTTTCCTGATTTTTTGGATCCATCTGTATATATTACAAATCCTCCTTTTTCAGTCAGGTGGTTAATATTCCATTCTCTACGTGTAATGATCTCCACTTTGTAGGGAATGTTATTCTAAAGAACCGGTTTGATATAGTCCAAGGGGTATTCTAAAAAGCCCTGGTCTATCTCTTTTAGTATTTTACCATGTTCTGTTGTATCACTCTCCAAAGTCCACATACCTAAGTTGTGGAATCTTAGTGCTGTAGCTTTGGCGTGAGCTTTTACCTCTAGATGCAAAGGAGGCAATCCAATTAGTGCCTCTAATGCAAACGTTGGTGTAGTTCTTAATGCTCCAGTGATGGCAATAGCAGCCATTCTCTGCATGCGACTAAGTTCTTTCCTAGCTGTAATAAGTGCTGTTCTGGTCCACCAGATTAGGGCACCGTACAATATCATAGGTTTAATCACTGACGTGTACAACCAATACATAACTCTTGGTTTAAGACCCCATGTCTTTCCCAAGGCTCTGCTGCAAGTCCACAATGTGGTCATTGNATTTCCCAAGGCTCTGCTGCAAATCCACAATGTGGTCATTGCTTTTTTGATTCTTGACTCAACATGTGATTTCCATTTTAGCTTATTATCCAAGATTATACCTAAGTATTTTACTCCCAATTTTAAGCTAATTTCTTGTCCATTCAGAGTAAGAGTGTCCAGACTGTCTAGTCCTATTCTCTTTCTAGTGAACATAACAACCTCTGCTTTATTTGGATTAACAGATAGACCGTACTTACTACACCATATCTGTATAGTGTTAAGTCTCTGTTGTGCTAAGTCAATAATAGTGTCTGGAAATTTACCCACCACTGCTATAATCAAGTCATCCGCATAGGCTTGTGTATAACAATATTTGTTTAGCTCTCTAATAAGCGAGTCCAGTACTAGACACCATAGTAAGGGGGATAGAACCCCACCTTGTGGGTATCCCTGTTTAACATTCTTGATTAGTTTGATCTCATTGAGCTGTCCCAAAATGGAGCGTTCCTTAAGCATGGATTCTATCCACTTAATAATAAGTGGTTCTATTCCATGCTGTTGTGCAGATTCACACATAGCATCGAAGGGAGTATTGTTAAAAGCCCCTTCGATGTCCAGAAATATACCTACTGCATACATTTTAT